TTATCGCAATGTTGTACAGCTTCAGCAGGATGGGCTGCACATGAAATTCCTTCTCCATGGTCTCGACAGCAGTGTTCTTCCGTGATTTAGTAAGGTCCAAGAGGACCTCAATCTGTAAGCTTCGAAGCATCTTCATCCTGTCTTTCGTCAGGCCCCATCGATAACGTGGGTTGTCTTCGGTGTCGGTTGGGTCAGCGAGGAACCATACTGCCGCGGCATACGTAATCTTGGGGATGATCTTCGACAGGTAAAGCTGGCGTCGAGCAAGGAGGTCAGCACCCCAGGTTCCCGCCACGTATCGCTTGAAGTTGGCTAGGTCAACGCGAACTTTCCTCTGTATCTATTCAATGTTAGCCTGATAATCTAAGGCGACAGTTTTGCTTACTTCTTTGATGTGTGGTTCCCAAAACATCTTGAAATCGTAAGTGACTCCAAGTATTACCAGCTCCTCACGAAGAACACCCTTAGTCCGGTCTTCGGTAATGACAACATTCTCAAAGCCTGGAATCGCCGGTAACTCATCGGAACCCTTTGAACCAGGCACAGCAAAGTGCATGACATGGTATTTACTCGTCGAAAAGTGCAGATTGCTATCTGTAGCCCATTCGTTGAGCTGTTGGTGGATATCGGTCATCAATGTGCAGTTCTGCTCATATGAATCGCTGGTGACCACGAGGTAGGTATCATCCACATACGAGAATATCATGACTGTGTCTTCGCCGTGTTCCCGGGCGAAGTCAGTTAACAGAGGCGCGGAATAGAAAAGGTAGAGAAGTGGCGAGAGTGGGCTTCCTTGCGGGATGCCGACATCGATCCAGTACTCGCCGCCCTCGTATCCGGGCATGTTGATATATGTTCGACGATCCGACAAGAAAGACCATGTAATCTCGATCAGCCAATCAGGTATGCCCTTTTTCATCATGCTCTGCAAAAGTTGCTCGCGGTTGATGTGATCGTAGGCGCCGGAAATGTCTAGACCTAGGATGCTCACCTTCTTCTTGAGCGCCCAGCCACGGTAAATGGTGTTGTTCAGAGTTTCAAGAGACAAAGTAGTGCTCAAGCCTGGTGCGCCGAATTGGGTTTTTGGTAGGAGGCCATGTTTGATGACGAGCTCTTTCAGGCGATTGGCGACCAGACGCTCGTACAATTTTCCGATCGTATTCAGAAGTGCTATTGGCCGGTAGGAAGTCGGTTGATCACCGGGCTTACCGGGCTTCTTTATCATGATAGTGATAGTGTCTTTGAAATGGTCTGGATGAATGCGTAACCGGAAACAGGCGTTGAAGATATGCAGCAAACACGGAGCGATGATCTCGCGACACATCTTCAATGCCTCGTAGGGTATGCCATCGACACCAAAAGCTTTGTGGTCTGGAAGATCTCTGATCAGGTCTGATAGCTCCTTGAGTGTGATAGATTCCTCAGAAGGGCCGACAGTCTCTCGATGAGGGTCCAAGTGGGGTAGCGGGAAGGAAGGCTTGGGGGCTGGCTCGGACTGTCCGTATATCAGTACCACTATATAACACAAAGTGACTAGTCAGAGCCATTCGGTGCTTACATCGTTCGTCCAAAACGCGGGCTTCAGGGGAGGGCCTTTGGGCCGGCTATCTGTCCATGTCGATTTTACATACTCGTCTACCTTCTCATGATTGAGCTTGATGACCTTATTGCCCACTTTGAAGTCCGGTGTACAGGCTAATTGGCGAGGTTCACTCCAGTTGTTTACTTTTCGTGCCAAATGAAAGATGCCGCGGCTGCTTGATGCCTCGATCTCAATACTTTCGCGATAATCTTGCACCGGCGTCGGGGTATCCTGGTTCTCCTGAGAGTTAGACTTAGGCCGAGGGAGGTGATTTGGAGCACGCGGAACGAGAGCCTTGATAGCCGGTTCCAGAACTTGAGTTATGACAGAGTACAGTGCGTTCTCCACTGCGTTGGCATCTGGAAGATCAGCAACCTCGATGTCTTTGAGCCCCTCTGCGACCCGAGCGACAAATGCATCTTTGCGAGCGCGCTTCCATTGATATCGGTCCTTGGTACTGCGATGCATGTCAAGATTGAAGCTAACTGACATGATGCAATGATCCGAATCGAAGCCATCAGCACCTTGAACAATCTCGTGTGTCGCTTGGTCGGCCAGGACATCCTTGATGTAAATAACGTCAATGGTACTCGCAAAGTCGCACTTATCTCTTTCCTTGCGTCCATATGTCACCTCCCCGGTGTTGAGACACTTCATGCTAGCTTCTTTCATTTTTTGGACGAATAATTTGGCCTTGGCTTCAACCTTGTGTTTAGGGAGATCGTTTCCGGCCCAGTCCGGATGATGCAGGTTGATGTCACCTACCAAGACGTGTGCCTGATCTGAGCTCATCAGGTCATTTGCCAGCTCAACCACATCAAGGCGCTTTTCGTGGTTGTAGACGTTGTGGAAAGCCATTCTGTATCCATCGGCAAGTGTGACGCGAAGCGTAGAGTGGATCCCTTTGTTATTGCCCATGGCCTCCTGGATTCGACAGCTTCTGAGAGACTTTTGAACTAAGAAAGCAACTTTGGACAAAGGAACAATCTTTTTCTCCGCTGCGGGTGTACGGCTGTATGGTTTTCGGTATGTGTAAGTGCTTGGATCGTTGTCTCGGGTTAGTACCTGAGGATTGCCATCATCATCGTCGGCCGCGCTATACAGATTGCCATACGATGTAAAGGATTTGAAAGCGAACTTGGGTGGTGGGTCCTGAATCGCGATGATGTCTGGAGGTCTTTGTAAAGTTGCCAGATACTCTGCAAGCGCGTTTAGACGCGCTGGCGCCATCTTTGTATTGACCGAAAAGAGGAGACACCGTCCGTCATGGAACTTGCGCACCTCGATAGGTGTGCGTTGCATGTTGTCAGAAGCTGGCTTCGGACGCGAGGAAGTCTGGCATAATTGTCAATCAATGTACCTGCGCAGGTGATGTGATGCCACTCGGAGCTAAGCTACCTTGGGACCGCCAGTAGGCACCTTCTATTGTTTCATCAGCTCGTGTCAACTAAGAAGATTCGTAATGCATTACCCGTTTACGTTTAGCCATTATGCGTGGGGACTTTGCGTGGGGACTTTGCGTGAGGACTTAGCGAAGACGTTTCATATCGAAATCGATGGATGTGTTGGGAAAGAACTGTGTCTCTAGCGTGAAAGAGAGGAGAATTTCCTTGAGAATATATACAAGAATCTGCGACGAGCTAAGCGCGATAGAGCCAGACATAAATCGGCATCTAAACACCACTGTTCGTCAGTGGCGGCCAGTCCATCCGGCAAGCTCACAGTGAATATTACACTCAGAATCAGACATATCGCAATAAGCAGGGATCCAGCCCTCGGAATCCGAGCGGAGAGCCTGAGTTGACCTGGAGTACCTACAATCCTTCGGCCTGCCGGCCTCTGGGACTACAAATCGATTTCTGCATTGTTGCTTCGGCACCGGAACCAGGCGCAAACGGAACGGTGAATCTTGTGGAATGTTCGGTCCATGCGGCGGGAACACCGCGTAGAGCCACACGCGGCTTTGGCCAGATCTCGGCTTCGGCTAAACCACTTTCCGACCAGTTACACGCAGCGACGTTGCGCGGGGGGCCGGCTAAGGTATGAATGGTAATGGCTCATAGCTAAAAAGTTCGCGTGCTGCGGATTGTCCGGTGGGGTAGCGACTTCGGGAGTGTCGCTCCTGAAGTTCTCAGGGTCCATTTTACGGAAAGAGACTAGCCTACAAAATCATATCTTAGCGCATTGGTGATACTGCAACGCGGGAACTTCATCCGAACGTGCATACTACCTAGGTACGGACCTCAACAGCAATGTAACGCGCGCGTTTGGACGTGATCACTCTACTTGCATGCGTCATCTGGCCTTGCCAACATCAAAAAGTCGTGACATGTGAGGATCCAAGCCGTCGGGTAGGCATATTGGAACAGTCCCAAGGTACCTTTTCATCTCATTCACTTGAGTAAGACTTGGTCCCTTCGTGACCTCTTTTCGGTTATTCAATGTGTCGCTTTCATGTTCACGTAGCCGTGAACCACTTTTTGGAACCGGCACATTGTGCAAAGGAGATTTGGGGGTTCTTCTCGGTGGTTCTCAGCTTCCACGGTAGCCTCATACTTCATGTGCTGTATTACGACTAGGATAACATTTATGATCGGGGCTCTTGGAGCTGCGGTCCTCCTCATTCGGGAGCAGATCCCTTCCTCTAAGTCGTATGATTGCATACGGAGGGTGCAGCCGGCTCGCCATTCGAGCTTATCAAGAGACACTCAAGGTCCTCTCTTTTCCCTGCATAAGTATCTAAGTAGATCGACAATATCAGGAGTCTAGCACAACTCTTCGGTAAACCCCTAAAGCCCTCTCATATACATCACCATGTACCAAGCCGGGACCGTATGGAGTTGCCGATGGAGCTGCCGATGGACCTCTATCTTGGCACTTTGAGGACACTTCTACGTACCATGGCCGAGGGAAGGCTGTGAGGCTATATAAGAGCTACCCGCTATTGTCTTCTCATGTTCGACAGCTTGTTAGATATCATTCCTGTCAAGATCAGATCTTAGAGCTGCAGCTTTGGAAAAGTAAGTAGCTGAGTCTTTCACAGTAAGGTACCCGGCTCTAATCTTGGAACTTCTAGGCAACACACATCGGTGTTTTTCGTCAGTCGAACTCTAAGCCTGATATCCCGGAGCCGAGCAACCCAGGCCGTTGCTACACAACTCTTCTACAATACGCTAGGACACCGTCGATAGTCCTGACGCACAAGCTGCGATATACTTGTGTCCTCGGGTTCCCGGCTTCTAGAACCCCTCACTACAAGTACATCCACAATCAAATTTACAGCGGGCTTGATCTTACAACAGTCTTCAAATCGGTAAGGGCGGGCTTTTGCTATCTGAGAGGTCTTTGTTAGTAACGCGTCGTAACAGTGGCATCGTAGGATAAATCGTTACAGATCTCGTTCCATGTACTTATCATTATGAACCTGCAATCCGATGCCTCGTTGGAGGACGCCAGGGATAACGTCGCTAGAGTCACACCCGAGCACAACGAGATGGAAGACGCAGATGCTGAGAGAGAGCAAGATATCGGTCTTAACCTGACTACCCAGGACCTGGTAAAAGTCCAGTCAGATTACAACAGAAAGTTAAGAGTCGTCAACCAGAGGCTCAAAGAAAAGAGGAAGGAAGACGAGAACGAGGCGAAGACGAAGATCCAACACCCAGAAGGAACAGCGCCACAGGACCTGACCCGAGGAAAAGCAGCGAGTGAGGACGAAACTGGACTGGAAGAGAACGTGACATCCCGCAGCTGCACCTCGACCAGCCCGGGCGTTTCGACAGCAGCCACGTCCCCGACTGAAACCATGAAGATAGCGAGTGCACCGTCCCGTCGAGATCCGGTGCTGCCCCATGTAGCAACTTTTCAGATCGAAACTGCCGAGGAATTCAACGACCTCGAAATCTGGGGATGGGAAAAAATGCGGCCGAAAATCTACCAATTTGGAGAGCCCTATACGAAAGTACGCGGTATTAATTTCAAGGATAATACCAACGGCGGCACTACACAGGGTACAAGAGATCTCCTACTGTTCATGGAGGACGCAGACTCGCTCGACATGCTGAGGACGCAAAGGTACTCCACTCAATTTTGCAACATTATCGAAATATCGCCGGGAAGTCGACAATCGTTCAAATTCTACTGGGTGGAGCTCGATCACACGATGAAGAGCCCGAGGAGAGACGAGCTTAAAAACAAACTTCCCTCATGGCGCAAACTCACCGGATTGGATTACAAAGACATCGAGGTAAAGGACGGGATGGTCCTAGTATCGTTCGACAAACTCACAGATGCGCTAAGATCGTGCAAATATCTACACTCTCCAGGCAATGGTTATGTGAAGGGGACACCGTTTGACAAAAAAAGCCTCCCATTGTACTGTTTACGCTGTGGAGGACCAGATCACATGGCACACTCCCGAAAGTGTCCTCAACAAGGAACGGACGACAGCTACAAGCGCGATTATGACGGCAAACCAATCTGGAGATGTCTCTGGTGCAACGAACCCCATACGCACAGAGGCAGGTGCCAAGCTCCGCAGAAATGTCGCAATTGCGTGCAACTTAAAATCAAGCCAGACGACCATAACACGGAGTCCGATCGTTGCAGAGCGCCGAAATCAGTGGCACATCGCAAAAAGTGCAGAGAGATCAGGAATATATGGCCGTCGTGGGCTGAGGGGGCCGACATACCCGAGAATCCCAAATTCGAACCATTGAAGGCCCAGTCGACCATAACCCCTCCGAACAGCCAGCCAAAACCTAGGGGTAGACCACCTGGATCTTCAAAAAAGACACAGGCTCTCGAAGAAAAGAACGGGTCGCAGGACGTTTTGGAATCACGATTGGGCAAAGACAAGGACCACCCCATGACGGTCGAAGAAGAAGAGAGTAACACGCAGCAGACATCTCAAATTACTTCAAACCAGGACGCCGCGAGGGAGTTGGACTTCCCAAAGCAGGGAAGTAGGAGAGTGAAAGCTCGAGCGGTAGCTGAGAAACGTGGAAGCGGATCGAAGAGGAAGGCCCCTGCGCATGCCGATACCGACGATGAAGACGAACGACAACACGGCCATGGAAAGCGTGTGTGTGAAGAGGACTGGGGCCCTTTGTCTCAAAGAACCCGTTCTCAAAACAACGCCACTGCTGCTCGGCGATCATCGGCACTTGAGGATAGCATGGCCAGATCAGGTTTTGTTTGTTCAGAAGACAGTTCTACTGATGCTTCGACCGGATCCACCGAGAACTCTTCCCAGACTTCGCTCGCCAGCAGTACCACGCAGCTCGCCAGCAGTACCACGCAGCTCGAACTGATGCGTAAAGCCATGTCGCCGCAGATCGTGATGGTTGCCGAGAATGAGTTGGAACAGGGTGAGGCGCAAGATACTGAGGACTGGATGGAAGAAGTCTTCACCTCCAACGATGATGAGTCCGATTACATGGCCGACATGCATTGATTTTAGAATGCCGCATTGCAACTAGGCGTATTGGCAGGCTTCGTATTGTTTTTGGGTCACCGCATTCCGCTATCCGTCGCCCTGTCGTCGATTCTTGTTGGATCGAAGACAGAATGGGTGGAATTCTGACGTAGTTCTGTTCGTGGGTATTGCCACCAGATGATGCGTGTAAGGCGTTTGGGTGAACATTCTTTAGAAGGTTATAACACAAAAAAAGTAATATAAAGAAAGCGGACTGTGCTGTTGTAGCACCTCCGGAAAGATCTCTTGTTCTTCTGCCCGTCGAGTGCCTGCCGTGATCAGTTTGTGGACCGTAGTCAAGCGTAGCTTGGACTGCATTGGTCTTTGGATCCCATCCCATGATGGCCATTACCACAATCTCTTTCTTTCCCACTGTTAGGCAGCGAACGGCGATATTCCTTGTATGGAATGACTCCACGGAAAGATTGGATCAACTCGGCTGCTGTGCGTAGAGCTACCATCCATACGGAATATCGAGCCACGTTATTCAATGAAATAGGTTTAGATAACCCGAAAGAATCTGACGAAAGATCAGCGCAGACGAACGATCTCGATGTGCGGTTGTGAAAGGAAGAGCAAGATCTCCACCAACACGGCGGCTGACTGAATGCATCTTCAGATATCACATCGAGACCCTTGAGGCACGGAGGCTAGACGAGAGAAGCTGGTGATAGAAAAGGTCGCATTTCCGACAAGGGCGGCGTGATCCTGGAGGCTTCGCAAAACTGTATCAGGCTTCTCCACGGCGAAGCCAGGTTACATATACACGAGAAAGTTAGTGCAAGAACGCGATTGAAATGGCAAAAACTAGAAACCGGCCAAAGGTAGGTCTCGTTTTTCATCTACACATCTCTCAGTAAGCATGAACGCAATGGTGCCTGCGATCAGTTGGCAAAAATGCTTGATGCGCGACTCATGTGACCTTTCATTCATTCGAGGTCGACATACCTTCTAATGAGATAGCCTGTAGCAAAGCCAAATTAGGTCTAGCGCCTCTACTTGAGATACCGGTTGTTTCGTTGACTCATTCGGAGCAATGCAGTTTGTCATGGCGGTTCATTGCATGAAGAAAGGTCTCGCTAACAGTACGATACCTGTGGGACAGCATCAGGAGGAAGACGGGCTTCTTTCGCCAGTAGAATAGAAAAAAAACTGCTGCGCATCAGGCCGATATCGATACTGTATCCTCGTTCAGTTCTCTTCAGCAAGCTAGACTAACAATCGCCGCACTGCTCCAGGGTACCTCCACGCTCATCGTACCCTTCCCATCGACCTCCACACTCTCCCCACACGTCACATTGTCCATGCGCACAGGCTTTCCCTCATCAAGCTCATAGTTATAACTATACCCATTCCACGTAATACCCGTGATAGCATCGCTTCCATTGGCCAACAGCCTTTGCACCTGAGCTTCACCCTTGCAGTCGCTCGGGAGCTGGAAAGAGTACTTCTCTGCCGGGCGTGCGAAAGGTGTGGTGTAGTTGTTATCGGCGGTCGTGTTGTATGTGTGAAGGTCGACGAGGAGAATGCGGGCGAGCGTGTCGTCGACGTGGGCGGCGTATTGGGTTGCGTAGATGGAAGATGAGGGCAGCGCTGAGATCTTGAGTTCAGACTCGGATGAAGGCTTGTGCATGAAGGCTGCGACGGCGACATTGCCGTAGTATGGCGGCTTGGTGCCTCTTGCTGTGAGGTTTGTTTCGATCGGCTGCCAGGATTGGTAGCTGTGAGGATACTGTCAGCTCACGAACAAGTTCATGCAAGAGGAATGTTTACTTACCGGTAGTTTGTTCCTTGGTGCATGTGAGAGCGGGTAAGGTTCTGCGACGCGAGATACGTGTTCCAATCTACACCCCACAGCGCAGCGCCGAAGCTGTTGCTCAGACCAGGTCGTCCCTGTCGGGCGAGCGAGTTGTGTTCGCCCATGACGAAGGGGACGTTTGGAGCCAGCGCGTCTCCCAGTGCCTTGATACCATCTTTTACACCGATTTGCTCGTCTGCCTTGGCGAGGACACTGCTGTGGTTCATCAACGTGCCTTGTAGTGTGATACCAGGGTTGGTAGAGACACCCATGTAGTTGTGGGAAGCGATCAGGCCGATGTTCTGCTTCTCGTCCAATCCCTGCTTGAAGACTTCGACGGGGTCCAATCTGAAGTAGTCGTTGACTCCGATGCCTGCAAAACTCGGTGCCATGAACTTGGTGCCAGCGAGATCTGGGCATGCTGCTTTGGTGGCCTCTTCAATGGCAGTCGTGCCGTTCAACCACTCGGAGACATAGTCTGCCTCGGCCCAGTTGTCAGGTCGGTATCCAGATGCAGTGAAGAGATCGGGCTCGTTGCCGTACTCCCAAAACAGCAGATCGCTTCCTATCGCTTTGCAGGCGTGCGAAACAGATGCCCATGTCGCGGTCCTTGCAGCGCTGGAGTTGGCGCCCATGTTGAAGCCGTGAACGAATCGCGTGCCCTCAGGCATGGTTTTGTAGGACTCGAAGTAGGAAGGGCCGATGGTAATAATCGTCGGGTAGTCGGCGGAGATGTTTGGGCGAATGATGCCGACGATGCTGGTCTCGAGCGATTCATCGAAAATGGCGATGTCCCTATCCCTCGAGTAAGCCACATGTATCCAAAATTGTGAAGAAGGAAACGTCTTACTGTGTGTTGCCGCCGACGCGAGCGATTGGCATTGAGCCCTGCAGCTTGCCAAGGTTGCTCATGAGGTTGTATGAGAAGGCATTGGGATGCGACAGATTGCCTAGAATCGATGATCGTCAGTCAAACTGTCGCGAGTATTTGGCATATCGCAGGACACATACCAGCAAAGTCGGGCCATGACGAGAACTCAAAAGAATACGAGACGAAAGAGTCCAAGGGGATACCGGCATCGTTGGGCGCTGACTGTGGAATCGTAATTGGTTTCGACCTAGAGGCAATGTGAGCGGCCTCGGCATCTAGAAAGGCACCGAGAGCTGCGACAGCAAGAGAGCGCTTGATTGAGGGCAACATCGTGTGCGTTCGATCGTTGCTGCCATACCCTGCAGGCGGTTTGCGCGTTGTTTATGGGCGCCGCCGGCAACGGAACTTTGGCCACGATGTCATGCGGCAATTGAAAAGCATGGCCTCGGTCAATTTTCTGGTATTTTCGTTGGAGATCTGCATTGTATGCGGGGAATTTACTGGGGTAAGAGCGTAAAAAGCCGGGGTAGCTGCCAGCCTCTTCTTCTGTTGGTGACGCGCGCGTGCATGCACGCGCTTGATTAACCTGGGTTGCGGCTCGAGTTCGGGAACGCTTGTCCAAAGGAGGATAGACCATCCTCCACTTCCCGAATGGCAGTCACAACAACTTCATATGCCGTACCTAGAACCAATTCTCATCATTCTTGGCTTGCAGTGATCACTACACTACAAGTGTCTTATACGTGGAATCATCGACGGCAGTAGTACATACCTTGGCACCATCGAATGATTACGCGTGAACAGCCAAGTCCGTCTGCTTGGACGCGACTTACGAACTCGCGCGATGAGTACCTGTCGACCTTAGATCTCCATTTCGGAACGCCACATGCCGCGTTTATCAGCATCTAGCTCAGATTTTTCAAAGTCTCAGCATCACTTCCGCCCCATGGGTACACCTCCTCCGCTTGCTTGACCAACTCTCTACACTTCTCACTCCTCGGTACGATGCTCACACGATACGGCTTTGGGTGGCTTATCACGCCAGGCTCAAACTCAACCTTGGGCTCTACTAGCTTCCCGTTCTCGATAGGCTTCTCGACATTGAAGACACCCAGCGACTGCGCGATTGTCGCGAAAAGAGCGTTATCGGCGACATAGCGTCCAGGGCAGACTCGACGCCCGTAGCCAAATGTCCATGTACGTGGATCGGGCTCCGCGATATGGGTTGGTGTCGTGATGTAGCGTTCGGGACGGAAGGTCATAGGATCGGAGTAGACGGCTGGGTCGTGTGTGAACCACCTACATGCTGTCAGCCACGAATACATCCGCTTCTCGCACCATCATACGTACCAATTGTTAGGCAAGATCATCGCTCCTTTCGGTATCCTATACCCATTGATGCTATCCTCTTGCGTGCAGGAATGGGGTATCGACATAGGCCCCACGGGATGCCATCGATGCGTCTCCTTCACTACGGCCTCAATATACGGCAAGCTTGATTTGTCGCTGGTGATTGGTAGTCGCTCTTCGCCAATTACACGATCCAGCTCCTCTTGAGCTTTCTTTTGAACTTCTGGGAAGACGGCCATGGCCAGGAAGAATGTCATCAGCGACGAGACGGTGGTGTCCGCGCCACCCAGGTATAGATGCGTCTGAGCCGAGAGACTCGATGGCTTGAGAGAGGAAGGATGTCTTCGCTTTCTTATCCTGCATCTGCGACTTGACGAAAGCGTAGGGCTCTTCGGCTGTTCGTATCAAGGTCTTTGCCATCTGCCGTGCTGTACGCTTGAAGCCGGTACCTGGACACCAGTCTGGGAGGAAACGTACTTTGCAAAGTCAGCGCGCTATACTGAATACAATACATGGTAGCCTATTAGTACGGATGCAGGCTTACAGAAAGGCATGACGTCTACAGGCCATCTTCCAGGCACACTCGCGTCAGCAAACTCTGCCATTGCCTGCCCTGCTATATCTACTAGCGGATCTGGTCCCTTCGCATTTGGCGTATAGCCATATGTGACTCTCAATATGACAGCACCTGCTTCTTTCCTGATATGTTCGAACAGATCATTGGGGGATTCCATGACATTCAGGAGGAAATGTGCTGCTTCTTCGTTCTGGACGCGGTCAAAGACGGCAAGAGACGTGCTGGAGCTGGCTACTTTCGCAATATTGCGACGATGGTGTTTGAAGTTCTGATCGGGTTGATGCATCGCCAACGTCTTGGTCCAGCCAATCCTGCGTCTTTGTCAGCCAATTCCGCTTCGTATCCGGACAGGCGTGTCAGAAGCGTACATGTCTCCACTGAATACCATATGTGGCCTCCCTGAATAGATCGCCGCCCGATTGCTTAGCAGTTCTACTGCTATGTTTGCATCGTTGACGATGACGAACGTTTGGCCCAGAACCGTCACCGAGCTTATAGGACCGTAGAGATCTTTGTGCTTGAGCCAATGATGGCACTCGAGGATCCCAGGCTTGGGCAGGTCATTGATGTTGCCAATGAGGGGAATGCCTTCAGGACCTGGAGGAAGCGGAAGATTCTGGCTGTTCTTACGCAAGAAGAAGCGGCTAAGTGTGTAGAATACGAGAGTGCCAAAGACGATGAGAAGAGGTGTCGTTGCTAGAAACGCCATGTTGATGTCACCTTGCTTGTGCCAGAGATGGACGACGAAATTCCGGCTGGGAAGTGATCCAGCTGTTGGGACGAGACCGAGGAAGTACGTCCATGGCCAAATCGGAGTCCATGCTGACTGAGCCGCGCGAACCTCAAATTTCTCGCCCTACGCCCGATGAAAGCCCATATGCTTTGGCGAGCTTAGTGCCGGTGGAGTAGTCGCGGGAATATCATTCTTTCAGGGTAGGTGGTACCGCGTTTGCAGGCATGCTGCAGGCGTAGTTGCTGACAATCAGTATAGCGCGCTCCCACGCCACACACGGCAGGAGAGCGGCGCGGTCGCTAGGTACCCGAAATAGAAGGACGTGTGTAAGCATGTCGCTGCCCATCATATAACAGCGATGCATGCCAATATACCACCGATGTGATTTGTGTGTTCGGACCGCGGCTGGGCAACGGTGTGCGACGGAAGACGGGAGATGGTGGAGATGGTACGGTGCTTAACGATGTGCGACACACACACTGCAAGCAGGGGCGGGCTGTGGTACCCCACCACCCCACCTAACAAACTTGGCATAGCTTTGACATGTCAGAACACGGGTGACGAATTGCTCGTAACTAAGCTTCAACAAAGCACGTTTCGATGCGTGAGATTAATATCAATGGCCAAATAGACAGTTCGCTTATCTCAATACATGTAGACAGTAAGTTTGGCACTTTTGAATCATCTGACCAGTATATTCACCGATACAGCATAGTTTTCTGTGGACAGTGAAGGATGTTGTAAGGTGCGATGGTTTGACTATAGGTGCAAGGTAAACAGTAGTAGATTCGATGGACTTTGAAGACGGACCGGAAAAAGTTTTCTATCCGAGGGTGCTTAGCAACTGCGGGATTGTTCAGCCACAGCTCAGCTATCCTTCAGCCATGAGGACCGGAGGCCATAGGCCAAGAGATACGCATCAGGGCTCCAGCTCCCTACAGATCTTATCTACTTAGAAGACGGTTTAGCCAAACAGCAAACCAAAGCCGGCTGAGCCTTAGTGGAATTCGAGGTCCAACCTCAAAGTCACTTGTTTGTTGTGAACAACCTGGTCACACCGCAGATGGACCTTCGCAAGTCTTGACCTTGCACCACCAGAATTAGCCGCATCCATAGTTTGGCTCCGATTTCTAAAGCTTAGTCCTTTCGCACCAATCCTGCTCATTGCCTGAAAGTCCTTGTGTAGTGTAGCCCGAAACAGCTCGCCATATTGATCGTCCAACAAGACCCACGGGGACACATTCTCAGCAAAGCCACATATCAACACGACCTGACCCGTGCAGTCTGAACTCTCGGTCACAGTTCCACTTCGTGGAAGAAGGATAGCCTGCATACTCATATATCGAGGTCAGAACGGGCTGGAATAGGCCCAGTAGTAATAGGAACTTACCTTAGAGCTTACGTGGAACCTAAGAAATGCGGTGAAGTTCCGCAAACCACGCGTAAGGAAGACATTGTTCTGGGCATCCCAGAGCTCCCTAGGCTCGACTTCGACCAGCGTTACTGTCTTGTGGCTATTGGACCGGATCGGAGCGTTCATGCTCGGGATCGTGAAGTAGAAGGCATTAGGAGTCCTGCTGGCGCCGTTGAGTGTACCGGTGGCAACCGCCTTCCGCACATATTTGGCGACGAAGATGCTATTCCCACCCGCGGTGGAAGTCGGCTTTATCAACTCGCCAAGCATATGAGGTCTTGCGCGAACGTACGAGCTGGCGCCTTCATGTTTGAGAATTACTCCGAGGTGTACCTTTCTCTTTCCTTGGACTTCAGCAGTGTAGCAATGTAGTGGCATGATGACGTCTTCTGAGTCTTCAGTGGGTTTCAGGAAGGTGACAATCCGCAGGCCTTTATTCGACATGGAATAGTCTGGGTTGAACCTGAGGTCCTGCTCGAGCACAAGATTGCCAAGGCTCGCGAACTCGTCCGGGCTGCGAGCCAGTATGCCGCGATACGTGGATGATCCGTTAGCTGCCGTCCACGCGAAGAGGCTGAGATCGTTGCTGTTATGAATGATCTCTTCTTGTAGACGAAAGAATGCCTTCTCGGCACCCTCGCCATACAGCATGGGCATGCTGACATCGAACAGCCCGATTAAGCAGTACGCCAGGTCTTCGGGTTTGGTGGTCTGTCGGCCAGCAGCCCACGCCATGCGTCGACCAACTGGTAAAGCGTCGAGAAGGTCACGGATTTCCAAAGCCCCTGGCTGCTGCGGCGGCGAAAGGAAGCTTGCGTCGATGCCCGTAATGGACGCCAGCTCGTCTCGTAGTGTTTCTTGCGTGCCGAAGCAGCGCCAGGCATGGTCGTAGAAGTGTACGGTTCGCGACGCTACAATTTCCTGCAGTGTCCACCCGCGCTTAAACCAGCGGGCACTGCGCAACGATGCGTTCCGGTCGCTCGGGGAGGCGGAATTATCGTAATCGGACAGGTAAACTAAACAGAGGGCAGCATCGCTATACCACTGAAACATGGAGTTGATGGACTCGGTCAGCTCAGCATTGTTGGTTTTGTCTATACAGCATGAGTCGATCCAAACATAATTGAAGCCGCACCGCTGGGCTTCAAGGCACGTCTGCTCGATCTTAGTCCAGCCTTTGGCTACGCCGCGCGTGGCATGGTGGTGAAAAGCCTGGAAGGTAACTTCTTCGCTATCCCACGTATGTGAGAGAATGGCAAACGCATGCGGTGGGCGCCCAAGGAAGTCGATCATCTGCAAGGGTTCGCTACAACAGTCAATTAGCCTCATTTTGGGATGGAGTGAATGATTATGTTGATGTGAGTAAGTGACTCGATGAGTGTGAGGATGGAAGAGCCATCTGAATCGAAGGAGATTGTGGTGAGATGGGTCTGTGCAGTTGCGTCAGCCATGCATGCACCAGGCAGCAGCTGCAAGGCTGCGGTCATTATTGGTTCACTCAATGGCAGGGGTAGCATTAAAAAGGTAAATGGACTGTTGTATTGATATTGCGAGCGTGAGAGCTGAGAGGATGTACCAGCAATCATCAACACCATGCGATTGACATGGGCGATAGTGGTGGCAGTACGCCTGGCCATGCGGGCGGAGACTGTACAATAACACACTCATCCAAAGCCACACACCAAGCCTGCGATATCGCGACATCACAGCAAAGGCAACAAACGAAACTGCAAAACGTTGTCACTACCAAAGAATTTGGTGCAACAAAAAAATGTCTCCTCCGTTCCTCGCCCTTGAGCCATCTAATCGGCTCAACGGGGTTGAGGAACAAAGGCCTCACCACCTTGAAGGGGGTAGATGAGGTTGTTTAATCTTGCTTCACTGTCCACACTTGCTCAACGTGAAAATCCGTAATGGCAAGCTCTAGCAATTTTAGAAGCGGATATCGATCCCCCATTATAAATAATGGAAGAAGGATGAGAAGAGGTCGAAGGTCGAAAAAAGACAACTCCCTCAAAGCCAGCACCCCACGGGACGGACATGTATAACGTGTATAGCGTGTGTGACGTGTATGACGTGCATAGCGTGTGTAACGTGTATGACGAACCATAGAACCACAGCGTGTATAACGTGTATGTGCTCAAAAGCCCTCAGTAGCTAAATGCCGACGAAATCGACATGAAGCTTAAGCCCACAGCCCTCAGACAACATCCCGAAGGCGTTGTAACCATATTGATCGGCTGGAATTCAAGGTTCCAATGCCGCACGGGTTGGTCAGACCTGTTCCGTGCCCTATCTCCGGGTTGAGCCTCCCGGAGTAAGAGCTTCTCGCTTTTGAGGCCGCTGCAGCAACTTCACCGCGAAAGGCGCTGGAACGTAGTGCGTCGCCTTGTCGATAGTGACGGATACAGCCATCCATTGCCACCAATCGTTGGAGGGGGAGTTCGCGTAGTCGACCGGGGCCATTGCCTGATGGCAGGGTAGCATCCGACGTATGGGCGAGTCGCTCCCTCCGATTCCGCCGCAGCGGAACCGACCGTCAGAGGGCGTTAACAGTCGTTCGTAGCCATGCACCCGACTACACAGCCCCATCATCAAGTCCCACGCTCACGCGCTAGCCTCAACAATAGGGAAGGGTCAGCTCATGGGAAAACCTCCACACAGGTGGCTTTCGTGCATGGCCACAAGGTTGAACGCGTCAACCCACGGGTGCCTTGTAGCAAAATGTGCCAGGGGCCATGCGGCCTATCGAAGACCGTCCGAAGACGGCTTCATATCTGTTGGCTTCTTCCTCTGAGATAGGGATCCAAGACTGCCGAAGCTCTTGTTGTGAGCAAGAGGTCCAGCCTCTAAACACCCCATATCTCAGTGTCGGGGGAAATCCCCTGCTTGCGAGGTCCATGAAATGTTGACGCGTTCGGTTTATATGGTTCGTATGTGACCACCGTCTGACCTAGGGATAGTTCTGCAAAGCAGCTTCCACCCCTAGCGACACTGTGGATTTTGACAATCGTGACGATTCAAACAAATCTGGTTGCTTAGTTAGTGCTGAAGGCATTGCGTTGGACTGAGAGAAGACTTACCCTCCAAGCAAACACCTGTGCCAATCCCAGCCGAGTAGGTCAGCGGATCACATGGCGACACGCCTAGTGCACAACAGTCCAACGGGATTGCTCCGCGCATGGGACCTGTGCTTCGGCAGTCAAATATGCGTCCGTTCACTTCCTCGACTGCAGATAAAACCACCTCCTATCTCGCGAGACCAGAGGGGCACAAGGGGGATGGGTGGGTTCAGGGGGTGGATAATTCATAGTGGAAGATGTCGACGCTAATCGCGTCCGACGCGTCGACATTGTGCCATGTCAAGACATGGCGAGCAACAAGAGCAGTCCAGAGCCGCAACGGGGATGGAATGAGGGAGTTGTGAGGAGAGGACACGAAGGAAGTCGCGTTGCCTTTATAAGCTGAAACACGAAGGAGGGGGGCTGGAAGCGAAGAATTTGGGTGTTCGGGAGTTGGCCTGTGTTCTCCTTGGCGTTGGCCCATGCAGTCGCGTCATCGAAGCGAATGGAATGACGAACGACACCCACCAGCACAGGGGCGCGTTTCAACTCTCGCCAGTACGCGACATGGTGAGTTCTGGAATGCAGGTTGTGGTGATGGATAGCAATTAACACGTGATAGCCGCCTAAACGCCGTGGTCCTCCCACCAAGGCGCCGCCTGTCAAGCGCCCCTCGAAGCTCGCGAAAGAGAACGGCATCACCGCGGCGCAAGAGGCGGAGATTCGCGAAGCATTCGGTCTTTTTGCCGTGTCGCATCCCGAACATGAAGATTCTAAGGAGGGCGTGTTGAAGAAAAGCGATGTGCGCAGGGTCCTGATGTAGGTCACGCGAATGCGCCCGAGAGCAGCGCGCCCATGCTAACGACTGCAAAGCTCGCTGAACCTCACACCTGACAAGTCCGAGATGTCGTCTATCTTATCCACCATCGACCCTCTCAACACAGGATATGTCGAGTTCGTGCCCTTCCTCTCGTACGCTGCGATCGCTATACACTCGAAGGAACAAGGGTCCGATGAAGAGGACGACGACGACGAAGACTTCCAGGGCGAGAGCAACGCGGAAGAAGTTAGCGCGGCGTACAAGCTCTTTACACACGGCGCTGCGGGACCGATAACGCTGGGGCATCTGCGGAGGGTAGCAAAGGAACTGCGAGAAGACGTGCCAGACGAGGTCCTGAAGGATATGATCATTGAGGCCAACGGCGGCGTCAAGGGTCAGGAGAAAGACGTGGGAGGGGTTAGTCTCAAAGACTTTGAGAGCGTCATGAAGAGGGCCGGCCTGTCTTTCGGTTGAAGCCTCGAGGCAATATGCGCGAATCACGGAACGCTGCCCTGCACGATCATTGCGAAGCCCTTACGAATACCACTATCGAACGCGCTCATGCCGACCCTTCAAGACCTCTCGCGAAAGCATTCTAGCTCCTCGACCTCCCAGCGCTCCACCCCACTCGTCTTCTCCATATTATGCAGACGATACCCCGCCAATGAGCGCACTCAATCCTCAGCATGGGAGGCTGGTATACAAGTGAGGAAGCAGTGAAGCCATGGTTTGAGATAGATCACATATCGGGGGAAGATATCTACACGGATAAGGAGATCAGATGTTCTAAAGGAGGAATATACGGTCACAACATGTCCATAATGTGTCTGTAGCATAATCAGAAGATACCCACGTCGTCTCGACTTGACTGCGATGCCAATTATAGCCGCGCCGATAAGCCGGCGCGATTGGATAGTGGCGCGGCAGGGCTGAAGTGGAAATGTTTTGCCAAGATTCAGGGACCTCACTCAACAAGCACACGAACACGAATGCAGCAGGCTTGCGTAACGCCAATCGCAATTTCACCTCGTCTCCCACTGCTCTGAACAGTCACTCCTGTTGTACGTCGCCCGTAACTGTGTTCACATTGCCACACGTCCCTGGCTACCTCAGTTCCAGCTCAGCTCAATGACCGCGCCCTAAACTTGGACCCTTTTCTCCCCTCGTGTCGCCTAGTCCCATGTCCAGTGGAGTTGAGGTCCCCGGAAGCCAACGACGTCCCGGCATCTGGTCCTACTTTAGTTTCACTGGCCCACGCCGCCGCGTCTCCGTCTCCCTACCTCGCAACGTCGACCCCAATCGCGACGCCAGCGACCCCAACGCCAAAGCCGACAGACACTCGCGCCATCGCTCCACGTATTCGGACGCATTCATGAACGACCACAAGGGCAGCGCCGTCATGAATCAAGGGCAGCGCATGCGCTACCTGAAGACAGGTGGCGTCATTGCTTTCATACTGCTTGTGTTATATTTCGTCGCGCCGCGCGATGGCATCTCAAGACCGGCAGGTACGTTGGGGACAGACGCTGGAAGAGACACGTGCTAACACCGTCATCAGTATCCCGTCCAGCAGGCGGCAACACAGCAGCTGGCGACGCAAAGGCCGAATGCACAAAGTCCTTCTCCAAGGACAAGCCGCTCATCCAATATGCCCTCATGATCGACGCCGGCAGCACCGGCTCCCGCATCCACGTCTACAAGTTCAACAACTGCGGCCCGAGCCCTGAACTCGAGAGCGAGAACTTCGAGATGACACCCAAGAGAGACGGAGGCTCTGGTCTTTCGGCATACGGCGACAACCCAGAGGCCGCTGCCAAGAGCCTGGACGTGCTCATGGACGTTGCGCTAAAGAACGTGCCCAAGGAATACCAGTCGTGCACACCCGTCGCTGTAAAGGCAACGGCCGGTCTCCGCAAGCTCGGTGAGCAGAAGAGCAATGCCATCCTCGCCGCCGTGCGCCACCACCTCGACAACGACTACCCGTTCCCGCTCGTCTCGGAAGAGAAGAACGGCGTCGAAGTCATGCCTGGCGAGATGGAGGGAGTGTACGCGTGGATCACAGTCAACTACCTCCTAGGCAAGATCGGTGGGCCGGACAAGAACCCTACTGCCGCTGTCCTCGATCTCGGTGGTGGCTCTACCCAAATCATCTTCGAGCCCACCTTCCCCGACACTCCCCGCGGCGGACTCCCCACAGAGCTAGCAAAGGGCGACCATAGGTACGAGCTCGACTTTGCGAACCAGAACTTCAATCTCTACCAGCATTCGTACCTTGGCTACGGTCTCATGGAGGCCCGCAACAACATCCACAGCACCCTGCTCGCCGGCCTCCACGAGAACAACAAGGACAACAAGGAGTACCTCCAGAAGCCCATCGTCAACCCTTGCATCGCCCCCGGCATGACACGCGAAGTCGAGGTGCAAATGCCCAAGGGCCACGCACTGGGCGACTCCGTCACAGTCAACATGACCGGCCCTGCCACCGCCTCGCCCACCCAATGCCGCGGCCTAGCCGAGAAGACCCTCCACAAAGACGACGAATGCGCCATCGCGCCCTGTGCCTTCCGCGGCGTCCATCAGCCACCTTTCGAGCAGACTTTCGCTACCGAAGCCGTATATCTCCTCTCCTACTTCTATGACCGCACCCAGGACCTCGGCATGCCCGAGTCTTTCACCCTCCGCGAGCTACAAGATCTAGCCAACAAGGTGTGTATGGGCGAGAAGGGCTGGCATTCTTTCAACGCTGTGCCCAAGGCCATCGAGGAGCTCAAGGGCAGGCCTGAGTGGTGCTTGGATCTTAACTTCCAGTATGAGTTGTTGAGGAGTGGGTACGGTATGCCGATTGACCGCGAGGTCAAGATTGCGAAGAAGATCAAGGGTAATGAGTTAGGATGGTGTTTGGGTGCTAGGTGAGTTCTTCTTTATGCTTGTTGAGACAGTGACAGTGCTAATGTGATGCCAGTCTTCCACTTCTTGAGGCAAATTCAGGATGGCAGTGCAAGATCAAGCAGGTTCAATAGGCGCCTTTGTTCACAAGAAACCGTTTTATACTAAATGATGGTGTTTTCTGCCTTGCTCTTTTGGGCATGTCTGTCGCAATATGCATTAGTTGGCGTTGTTCTGGATATTGTGGTGATGCGGGTATGTGAAGTCTTAGATGAGGATAATTACTAGCCGCTAGCCTAGGTGTTGATATAGACCGCAATGAAAACCCTCGTTCTTATGATCATGCCCCCAACATCCCGCTCTTGTGCTCCCCCAGTATACCCCTTCAGGTTCCTGCCGACTCTCGCCTCCGCTTCCTTCCCGCTCTCACTCCATCTCTCCATCCTTTCCCCCACCTCTCGTCCATCAGCGCATCATAGAGTTCGCGTCTTCGTGCATCCCCCCTATCAAAGGCCTGATTTGACCAGATCAACCCTGAAGATTGAGGGCCTTGCGGTGGGTGGACGCGGTCTTCATTGCGCAGCTCAAGCCAGGAAGGCGCCGGTGACTGAGGCACAAATCCCGTCTTAGTATGTCGCGCTTTCCATGCTGCGCTCCATTTCTCCAAGTCTTCCGATGTGTTTATCGGCAAGTACTCTGAGAATCGCTGCACGTGTGCTGACTCGTCTAGAGTCGTTATGGGGAAATCACACGTCACTAATGACGTGTTCCTTCTGATGGCGTCGATTGCTTCTGGGAATCCGTCCATGATAAAAGGAATTTTGCAAATTTTGTACCACTGTTGCGCATCGTAGACAATGGGCATGTCACTACCGGGCTCGCACCGACCTGTGTCGAACCTACCACCAGGAAGCCTTGCAGCACGTACGAAGGCAGCCTGTGTGGCTGCATCTTCAATAGCCACATCAAAGACACCCGCGTTCATGATCTGATTTGGCTCGTCGGTTAATACGAGTGTGAATGCGTTCTCTGGCATGCCCAAAGACGGCAGTATGACAGCCTCCATAATCCAACCCACAAGACTCCGGCTAATGGTAAAGGTTGGCATAGTCCGGAAGTTCCTATACTTCGGAATCTTTACCAACGGCAGATCTCCGGCGGGGAAGGCGTTCCTCCAGAGGTCCACACGACGCTCGATACGCATGTTCGGATTCTCCTTGCAGAATTGGATAAGCCCACGCGCATGACTCTCGGGCCACGCAACCGACTTCCGATTTTCGTGTAGCACAACCTTTCTAATCTCCAATCTCGTCTTTTGTGAGGCCTGGCTTAAGAAGCGGATCGCCATGGAAGCAGCTGATAATCGTTGTTTCTCTCCGTCCCAGAACGCTGCAGCTGCGGCTTCCCTGTGGGTCTCGGGTAGGCCGTCAGGCATGAACAAGAACATTTTTTCGACACTCTCTGACGTGGGTACGCACCAGGGTTCGCAATCCGGTACACAGTGTGTGAGAAGCTTGTTGGCCCAGCCTATCGATGGTGTTTCCTTGACAATGTACGTAAGTTCCGATTTAACAAATTGGCGGACGGTAGAGGGAGTTTTCTTCCAGAGTCGACTGTGACCGGCAACATATTTTGAGTCCTTGAAGCTGCACAAATCGGGCAGGAACTGCGCGTAGTGCTTTTTCACTCTAGCAAAAACCTCTGGGCGGAGGAGCGCTTCAGCTTGTAGACAAAGGTAGTAGAGCGACGTCGCTCTCTTGCGATGGAGTTCCTCGAGGTAGTATGCATAGTTTCCGACTCTTTGGTTTGCCCATGGTTCCCAGCAGGTATTTACGTGAAGTTCGTTGTTTTTGAGTGCGAGACCACGTGTTTCCGCTGCGATCTGGAGGTTGGTAGAGCGTAAGTCTAGCTCAATTCGAGTACCCTCATTGGAAGTGAATTTTGAAGTATCGGAATTTAGCCAGTAGCCGTCTTCGAGGCGGAAGTAGTGCCCATAGATCTCGTCTCGAAGCTCTCGAGAAAGACCTAGGAAGGTAGGAGTCCCCATGATTACCTCCGACGTCAATTGTTCAAAGTTGTCATGCGTCGGGGATTTTGTGACAGGTCGTAAGGACAGATGAATTCGCCCAATAATGTGAGAGAGGATGCAGGGATTGAGTGAGAAGGATGCTTCATCGAAACCCGAGGCATAGCCTAGACTATATACTCGACACAACAGAACATTTTGATTTCACGCGAATGGGTGAAGAAGATGATATTCCCCGGACTCTGCTTGCGGCCTGAAGTTGCCGCGTGGAGAAGCCGGCAGCCTGTTCACCATGATCTCGGTCCCGAGGACACGAGTACCGAGATGACGTTACCGTGACCCTGCATATCCATAACAATCGGAACCGTGACTAATACATCACGATTCTTTCAAGACCACCGTGAGACGCTCTTCGTCATGTCGCTGTTGAATAAGCACCATCTCACAATGATGATCTGGAATTTCACCCCACCCGACGACAACATACTACCCGGGTAGTGAAGCCCTGGAGGGGAACCCGAGATCACGAGTACCATGTTCTCACTGCCTCGCTACAAGTCCAGTTCATCAAACAGTCAAATCGACCTCGGGATGTATGAACCGATGCACCTACGCAATACATCAACATCTTCAGGGCTGTCTTGACGTCATAGCGCGACATTCCCTTGTGGTTGCGACGGTGAGGGGTCTACACTGTCGGCGCCAGGGTCTCTCGGTCGTCCGAATGCTCCCGGTGAGGACTTAGGTACTGTGTACCGCCCGCAAGTTGCTTTCCATCCAAGATTATATATGTTTACTTCTTGGAAACTTCAGTTCGTTTCATTTCTATCATTCCACCGTCTGCAATCATTGCTCTAGCATCGACTGGGATTTTGCACCTACCTTGATACATCTAAGCCAACACTAGTAAGCTATAATGTACGCACAGCAAGGCCTATATACTTATCGTTTCTAGCTTCACGCCTGTAAGGCACGATACGAACGCCCAGCACCATGGGTGCGAATCTCTCAACCGCGAACGGAGACTCGGCACATCGACGTGAGCAGGATGAAGCAACCATCAGAATCTATCAGAGATATATTGCTCGCATGTTGGAAGCACACCGCTCGCCAACTCACCCCGAAGCGTACGTCCCATTTAGAGCCCACATGTCACAGCAGCTACATGAGCTTGAGAGATCCATGGAACAGGCTCATTTTGACCGGGACGATATCTTTTTCGTGACCAGAATGATCCATGGTAATATTCTCGCCGCGGACACAATGAGGGCCAACTTCGACATCGGACCCAATAAAACCCTACCTTTGGATACGGCTACACAAATGAAAAATCAGACACCCAGTTCCTCGGAATCTTTGAGGCGTTTTTATCAATCAGCTGACGCCTGCCGCCAACGAAATGTCAGCGTCTTATCGAAGCAGCGTGCATCCACAGAAGACCCCCATTTGAGAGATCTCGCCGAAGCTTTGCAGATCATGCTCGCTTTTCCCCCTGTTCAAGCGATACTTGCAGAGGAGACAGATCACCCTCTAGATCTGTCTAACGCCAGCGATACTCATGGACGAAAGTACTACCTGGACAAAGTAGGCGATTCGCTGATGGTAGTGCCAATCGTTGGTTGGGGACTGGACTTGGACGCCTATGCCGTTCGCAAGGGCATCGAGGCTCTCCGTGCCTGGGATCCAACATTCTATAGCCAAGGTTTCAAACGGCATGGAGAGGATCAACCCGAAGACGAGACTGAAGAGGAAGCCGGCAGCGATGACATCCTTGGTGACGACAGTGGAATTGACTGTGGCGATGGTATGGAAGATGATGACAACGAAGACGGGTATGACGATGAGCTTGAATTCGAGGGTGAGGATGAAGATACCGAAGAGGTACACGCGGAGGAGGGCACAGGGGAAGATGCAAACATGACGGCAGCAGAGATGTAGAATAATGTTCTCGAAAATGAAACTACTCCTTTTTGTGGCTCATCGTACATCACAGTCTTTGCACTTTCCCCGCCTTTAATTCTTGAAAACGAACTTTCGTAGCCCGTATTCATGAGCCAATTTGGCTGTCTCACTGCATGCGTGTCATTTACGGCCTTGTCCTTTTTTGCACCAGGTTTCTGAATCGAAGAAGAATAGGGCCCGTAGCTGCTACGAAACAATAACGCATTAATATCGCCTTGAATTAGTATTTCGACATTAATATCAAAATACTTAGAGCATAAGAGACTGCTTCGCATTCGACAAGATGGATTGGTGTCTACTCTTCCGACAGCCTTGTTCCTTAATGACTAGAAGTAGATGGAATTCACAGGTAAGAACATGCTAGGGTAGTTTAGAACACGTAGGAAACTTCCGTTACTGTTACTGTAAAAATTAAGAAGTAGAAGACTTCCCTCAATAACACCCGATGCAGACTGTTCTCATGTCGCTGGAAGGCTGAACAGTCTAGTCGCTATTACTAGGGCAAAGCAGCAGCAAGACCCGACACGGAAAAACTCCTAGATTTTCTAGTGAATGTCATTAGCTGATTTAGTGATGCTTCATCGAGGGATGTTGTTCGTGATCAGTCCTAAACATATGCAATATAACCCTCTTTACACATTTCTTTCAATCCTCAAGAGGACAATATGTATACCTAGCTCACACCTAGTGTTCATTGAGCATTCACATCATTATGGCCCCAAGGTTTAGGCTATCATGTACCACGAGCATGTTGGCTACAGCCCGATACAATCACATACGTCATATTATTCCGGAACTACGTTTTGCAGCTCATTTCTAGTTTCTATGCCAAGTGGTGCGACCTTCACGATAACCCAGACGCGACCCAGAGACGACGAGCCAATCACATCTTTCGCCTTCCACGCGACTCATACCGCAAGGAAATACTCCCGAATGAAAAGTATTACAGTTCCCAGAACTACAAGCATGTCAGATTTCAAGCAAGGTAGGTGGAGGTATCTGGGCTTGCAGATAATTGATCGTGTCGCTCTTGAGTCCAAAGTTCAGCTCTCGTCTTGCGTAAAGCCGACGTCGAAATCACGCCTCGGGTTAGGTGGTGTTACTTGTGTTGACGAACGCAAGAATTGCGGGGGGCTGCCAAGTGTAAAAGCAATCGAAGCGATGACTTGGAACCAATTCGGTATCTATTTGCAGAGGGGCACAAGAAAGCCAAAGACCATCTTCAGTCTTGCTTGAGTCCGTTGATCGTCTATTGTCAGCGAGAAGCTTTGTTACACCAAGAAAGGCTACAGTCCGTGTCGCATCCTGCAAAGAGTACTAGGTAGAAGTAGACATTATCTTAGAGAAATCTTCTGGTTATCAGGATGTAATACTATGTATCCTGCAAACTGCATACTGCGACACGAAATCTAGCTACCATTGGTAGTTATGATATACTAAGCGAAGTCATAGTCAAGGCCTCCAGGCTCAGCTCCCAACCATGTTCTGGCCGTAGAAGCCGCCGCTGATGGCATCGGCAAGCACGCGATCTACCCTGTGCAGATGCACGGAGGCAGAAGAGTCATCTGCCATTCTCCTCAACGAAGATGACGCAGCCAGGAGTATAGTCCGCCGAAGGTCAGCCCCTCGCTCGACTGGCAGGCCTGGTCCCTGCAAACGAATAGGCCCTGAGCCTGGGCTATGACAGTTTGGCTAACAAACCGCCACATGGTCTTCATCTAAAACGATCTCGCGTACTTCTAGGCGAGGAGCAGTCGGCAAAAGGACATTGAGTCGAGGGCCATGATTGCAGCCGAGTATTTGTACTTGCATGTGTCCAAATAGCAGCCTGATGTCCAGCGCGTGAAAGCCACGTCGTTGAATGACCCAGTCAGGGTCATGACATGCAGATTGTCATTGGTGGACAGCACCTATGGCGCATGCTTATGCCCTGACATAGCTTCGGTATCCAGACAAGGCTGCTAGCTGTACTAGCGGGAGAGATACGGGACCTTCTCAGCCAATACCGGTTCCGCAGCGATCAGACTCAACCCATGCGACACGACGTGGCGCACCTGTGATGGCATATCCTTCCATTTACCACATCCGATGTGATATACCCTCGTGCATAGAGCCCACACAATGGCTAGGAGTTGCGTATGGGTTTGTTCGATATCGGCGCGTCTCCCGTCATCAGAGCTTTCCGAAGCGGCGGCATTGTGTGGTGGGAAGCCGGTCTTGGAAGTAGGACGATTGCTGAAGCGCCTGAGCAGTCGGTTCGTTCGCGAAGCGCGTTGTAGGAGGTTGAAGTGCGTAGCGCGTTGCGTCTCTTGCTGGGTGAATTGGGCTCGTGGGTCTAACAGCATTGTCAGCACTTTCGGCGAAGTGGAGGGTTTACGTGTCAAAGGATCTCGTGTATAACCATCTTTGAAGGTGAAGTGATAAGTGTGCACCTGGTCTCGAAGCTCTCAGGGAGCGCAAAGAAAGCCTGTCAAAACAGCCGATGTTGCAGTGGTTCCACCCGTGAGCAAAGGATCTGTCAAATCTAATGACGAATGGCGAAGCTGGTGGCTTGATCTCTAAAGAGCGAAGAGACAGCACGAATCGACCCAGCGTATCAAACGCTCGCTTCGCAACCCAGGTATGGTAGCTAGTTGTTCAAGCGTCGCTTGCAGGCGGTATATCCGAAATTATGGTGCTGGTCCGAGGGAATGTGGGAATGTGGGCAACATCCTGCGCCGCGGAATACGTGTAGGCGGCAGCGCAGCGCACGGCGACGCGTGGGGTATGCCTGTACAGTACGAGATAGCCGATGGCCCACTGTGCAGCTTATCTAGGTCTGCAACGTCGGTAGATTGTTGTGAAATTGCGGAACGATTTGCCGATGGCTTTGTTGCAATTCATGGTCTGGCCGGGCTGCCACTGCAGGCTCGTTATGCAGATACAGTCATCGCGTTAGCGATCGAGGTTGACATCATTGACTCTGCACGCATGACTGCCGGGTGACTACCGTCGCAATGAGATACGTGAGAATCAACATGTAAAGCAATCTCGGTGTAAGGGACAGGATGGAACAACGCGCTCAGGTAGCCGCACGGTGCAAGAGTAATATCTAAATATGTACCTCAAGGCTTGTGCAGGCTACCTACCTGGGTAGGTGGTGATGGCGGGAACACGTACTTACATAATACGAATCCTGGAAGTCTCAATCCCTAGCTTTCGCTGTTACTGCTTCAGGGAGGTTTGCGGAAGCGTTGATGGCGGCCTTTCGCGAAAGCAAAGTCTTGATGTTACTGCTTCGGGAAGGTTTGCGGAACCATCGATGGCTGCGTTTCGTGAGAGCGACACGTCGCGATGCCAAGGCCTTAGCCTTCGGCAATCAGACACCCGTGCAGATGGACGCTAGACACGGCCCCGCGGGATGCGTCTTCCAATCCACGCACACGTGCCGTTGTTGCCGAAGCTGCAGGTGTGCCAGCATTTCCCAATAAATATCATCGGACCTCAAAAGATTGAGCCTTTCCCGACTCGAGTACGGGGCAGCGCATCTAGCTACGCACCTGGGCATTCACAGTCAACGCATGGTGCCATGGTTCCCTCACCACATGACGTACCCGAATCAGCGCCTCCAACCAACTGCCGCCTAGCCTCTTGCTTTCGTCAAACTCTGCCTGGGTGCATTTGGCATCTTCCCGGGACTGATGTACACTGTGCTCAGTGGTCTGGTCTATAGCATTCATGGATGGCCCCAATTATGTCACGTGATCCTTCGTGAAGCTGAAGCCTGATGGGAGAGTTATAAGCACCATCATTGGCACGTTTCTTGCCGGTTTTGCATCTCCAATCCCCAGCAGGCCCGAGACCTAAGCTACGAACCATCGGATATCTTCGACAGAATACTCATAGCTCTACGATGCTGCTCGTTCGTCTACCCCGCGAGCTGCGCGACATAATATATGACTACTATACCATTGAAGACGGCGGGTATCACTTCGACTCTGAATCCGGAAAACTACGCACCGAGTCCGGCGATCAGATTGAACTGTCTCTCATGTACTCATGCAAGAGCATCGCTTCCGAGATGCGAGATCTACACCTTCTCAACAACACGATACACTTTACGACATCTAGCTTGACCACTGAGCGATGCAGCGCAAGAGCCAGACATTACGGTCACTTACTTGATGATCTCCATATGATCAAATATCTCGTGTTGCCTTGCGCCCGGCAGTTCATTGACGACAACATAGCTCGTACAATATCGGAGCAATTCCCACAAAGCAAGGCCTTGGTACGACACCTCTCAAACATGGATAGAGATCTATTCGAAGGTAACGAGCAACTGAAAGAGCCAGGCGTATGGGGACAAGCTCCATCCTTCCATCGGGACGCTATCGCTGAGCTGCTTCGACTCGTAGCCCGGGATCCCAGATTCGGTGAAATGAGTCGTCAAGTGCTCGAAGACCATCGCTTCCAGTTTTCGCCAGGCCAAGAAGCGCTGAGTCTTCATTCTTTACACCCAAAGCCATGGGAGTTCCTCAGCGAGCACAAGATCAAGTCCATGGAGAAACTTTTGCCGTCCGAACTACACAACCCCTTCCGCGAGCATGCCCGTGATCGCACCAGATATTACGTCTCTGCCGCTTCACAAGCTTCAACGTTTCTACTGCAGCTACCTCAACATCTCCGGATCAGTATCCGATCGATCGCCCTCCACGATACGCATGCGAGCGTTTCTCACCCGGAGTGCCATGCGCGAGCATTGATACGCTTTGCGATCGAAAACCCAAATCTCAAGATTGCTCACCGTGCAGATCTTTGGGGTGCGGTCCTGACTTCGTTGCAATCCGTGCGCTATGAAGAATACCGTTCTGACCTGCGTCGAGGGTTGGGGCTGATGCGCACTATGAATGCGGTAGACGTTACCAGAACCGTCGGTCTTTGGATGATGGAGGCTTTGGCCTTGAAGTCGGCAGGCATGCCCCCAGAATCTTTTA